GGCTCAGCTCCTCTCAGGATGTGGGGCCACCTCTCCACATGGCTGCCAGAGGTCTGCCCACTCTGCAGGCATCTTCCTACCAAGCAGAGATGGCAGGCGGCCCCCCATGGAGCCCGGTGCTCAGATACACCCCAGAACCAAGGTCATTGTTTTGGGGAATAAGGGCACGAGCACAGCTCATTGGTGGCAGGCCCTGACCAGCAAGGAGCCCCTAGGCTGGCCTGGCTGCCCCGAGGCAATGTGGCTACCTCTACAGGCAACTCTGCCCTGCCATTCGCCAGCCTGGCCTTCCCAGTGGCAGTCCTATGGGTCCACAGACAGCCGCCCCCCCCCCAGTGTTGGGGGGAGGGGAGGCTCAGCAGGTGGAGTGTGCCAGCACACTGCCTTTAGTTCCTGGGTGCCCAGAGGCTGTAGGGCATGGAAGCTTGAGTGCTTAACCCTTTGTGGGCCACAGCTGCCTCCTCTTCCTCCCATTATCCCACATGTACCCTCTGGGAGCTAGGAGGTGTCCAGCCCTTGAGAGGTTGCAGGAGCAAAACTGCAGAGACGGACAGAGAGCAGGCTGAGGTGGAAGCTTCCTGGGCCAGCACGGGTTTCTGCAGCCTTGAGAATGTGGGTGCGGAGTGGACAGGTGGGGAGTAGACAGTGGCTGCAGACCAGAGGAGCAGGGAGGGAGGACGCTTGGCATATATTGGGGCCAGGAATTGCTCCCTGACTGTTGTTCTCATCAGGATGAGCAGACTCTGGGTCTGACAGCCCAGAAAACCAGGTGACCGAGGGACCCCAAAGGCAGGAGGCCCCGCCGTGAGGCCTAGGAACGGGTTGCCTGCCCTCTCTATGCTCCATCTCTGCTGTGTTTGGGCCGTGAGGGAGTGGGCTCACCTGGATTGGGGCTTGGTCGCTGCCCCGACGGATGGCAGTAACTCTGGGGCACCTCATGGGCCTCCAGGGATTCTGTGTTGGCGTCTCACAGCTCCATGCTGAGCCTGGCAGGTGACAGCAGTTCCTGCTTGTCTTTGTGGGGGAGAGACACCACACGCTCAGATGCTGGCTGGAAAGCCTCTTGGTGCTATGCGTTGTTTGCTGCATGAATGGAAGGTCTGTTTCAGGGCTGGGCGCAAGGCCACACCTCTTACTTCCTCTGCGTGGGGCGGGCAGGGACACGGGCTGATGCTAATGTCTACCTGTATCTGTGTGACTGTAGCTAGAGGGCAGCTCCAAGGACGGCAGTGGCCCATCTAAGAGTCCGCAGCCTCCCACCAGCCCCGCACCTGCGGAGACTTCCCAGAGAACCAAGAGCCCCGTGCCCACACCGGCCATGAACGGCCTGGGGGCCGCCTCAGCAGATGGCCCAAGCGAGGAGGCCCCGGGCCTGTCTCGGAAGAAGGTGGCCCATGCAGTGAGGAAGGTGGTGAGCAAGGTGCTGCCCGGCGAGGAGCCGGGGAATGCCAGGGAACCTCCGAGCAGAGGGGTCAAAGTCCCCCTGAGCACCCAGGTTCGAGGAAGGAGGGGAGAAAAAGG